ACATCGTGATATACCGGTACCAAAGGCTATACCAAAAAACGTGTCATAAGAAATGACAAAAGATATCGACGTCGGCATGATTCGAACATGCGCCCCCGAAAGGAATTGATTTCTAGTCAATCACGTTAACCACTCCGTCACGACGCCTATCAAATTGTCTGTGTTTAATGAGTAAGCAGAGTTCTTTAACATCTAGATACCACTCTTACCTTGACTCTACGTAAGAGGTGGGAATTGAGTCCTCTTTCAAAGAACCTCTTAATTGAATTATAAATTCATTTCAAGTCAAATACTAGATTTTGAAAAGATCATACGAGAATTGGAGCTTTCTCTATATAAACAGTAAGAACCATATATATCTAATACAATATTGAAGAGAGATTCGAATTATCAAAGTCCTTCTGAATATTAGTACTCAACTACCGCCTCTTATTTCGCTTACGTAGAGCTTGAGTAACCATCACTAGAGTTGATTTCTGAAGTGTGTGTAAATGGTTACTTGGAAGTATCGTAAATTTGAAATATGCGAATGCCACTCCTAATTTTTTCGTTCATTCTTTCTTTAACTGCCCTCTTTTTCTTTTCATACCAAGTCTTGGTGATAAGGATCCTGTCCATGTTAAGAATTCTCAAGTGAACAGTATAGATTGTGAGGAATACCTGCACACAAATTCACACATCACGAATACAATCTCTAATGAATTCGCCATGCTATGATACAAAAAAAACCGTTCAGTAATTGATATGTAGATAATTTGATAATAGTCTATTGACTCCAACTTCTTATAGAACAGCCGTAAGACTGGAGGTTCCTCGTTGACAAGCTTGTATGTGGTCTGCTGTGGCGGTGGGTTCACAGGATCATTATTGGCCATTGTATTTGTAGCCAGCCTGTCCTCGATCGTGCGCTCCCGTTATTCTATGAAAACAGTGTCAAAATGATTTGGGGCATTGTTCGGCGTTGAAAAATGCTGGGTGATCATTCTATATGCAGCTCGCAAGTAGTGATCATTTCATTTTTCATCCTCGTGGTGATAGTTTCAGATGCTCAGCATCAGCATCGCATTGCTCTAGTGTGGAGTCTTTATTTACGTTGCGGACTGCAGATCGAAGTTACTGGAGAAGTCTTTCACGAATATGAGTCGATCTTCGGTGCACTCGATTTTTTCGCTAATCTCATCAATCCCTCCACGAAATCTGCATGACTTAGATTTTTCAGAAATTCTTCCTCGGAAATATCTCCCACAGGCGCTACTTCGTGAGTTGGACTTTTTGTCTTGTTCGTTTCAGTTCTTGCCTTCAATTGAGTTTCCAATTTCAAAATACTTCCATGGATGTCCCGCATAGTTTTATACCTAGATGGATCTTCCAAATTTCGTAGTGCTTTCTCGAGAACCTCCAGAGACTGCAAATTTTGCTCATCTATATGTTTCAGGCGTTGTTCCAAAATTGACCGTTTCTGCATTGTTCTCAACAATAATTCCCATTTCATGATGTTTTTCGCCTTCAATTAAATTGCAAGCTTTAATGTGACTTCGTCAATTACATCTTCATGTCCGAAGTCAGTTGTATTCATATTCTCCCTAATCCATCTTCGAACTATGGTCGATATGCCAACGATATGGTCGACTAGGCCATCCAAACTATCGTTTCCAGCTTTGAGTTGTGGCCAAGGCACACGCAAATCCCCTTCCAACGACAGTTTGTTGAAAAATTCGTTCACAACCACAACTCCAAATCCACTACTCTTGGCTGACCTCACCATACACCGAAACCCTGCATCATCCGAGACCAAAATTAACCAAATAAAAGAGTTAGGTTCCTTTTGTAACTGCGTCACCTTCCACTTCTCCCACACGCATCGTAGAGCTTCATCTGCTTCTTGGGGAGCTGTACCCACGCGTTAAATGTGTACTCCAGTTTCTGTCAATTCTGTCCCAATCTCAGAGAATACGTGATGAGTACCAAAAGTTGATATGTTAATAAGCTCCCGGAAATGCCCAGCGAACTTCAACGAAGTTACCACGTTGTCACAAGACGGAGAAGTTCTTTTGTTGTCGGCATCCCATAGAACTACAACCGAATTTAGCCTTGATCTAGAGGTGTTTCCTTGATTCTTAGATGCAGCTTCCGTATCGGCCAAAGCAGAGATCTGATCCAGTTTGAATATCGACTTCAGTCTCCTTTGACGTGGTAGCTTGCCGGGCTGAGATTTAGAACCCTTTTTCTCATTGAAACATTTTCCTTGAGTCGGGGCGGAGGTGTCTTTCTTACTTCTATCTAGAATTGAAATTGAATCTGATTTAGGGCTGCGTATGTTAATGTGAGACAATAAACCCACGTCCGAATTTAACTTTAAATTCGGGGAACTTAATTTACTATAAAAAAGAGGTAGGGAACGCAAGGCCTCTTTTAGATTTATTGACCCTAAAGGGTTTGTTAAAATCATTCCTATAGAAGGCATCGAAAGTACCCTAGTTTTCCTTCTTCTGATAAGTTCCCATCTTCTCAAAATGACGGATGGATGAACCCTTCTCAGAGGTGGTAAGCCCCCATGCAGAATTAAACTTGAGGAGATATCCGCGGCAAGTGTCGTGAAGAATGCCAAGTCCAGACGGCATTTTGACAAATTGTTGATGGTATCACCACGATTATTGAACCTCGGGTACAACGAACAGAGGAATGATTTGGTGTTGGGAAGCAGAGAGGCGCGAATTGAGTTTCTGGTACTCAATTGGGTAATCATTGCTCATCTCATGATCCTTAGAGTTACCTGACTCTTTGACTTTGTGTCACGGGGTCTTTTCTGTTGTGACTTTCATGATGTGAAGATTCTCGTGAAAAATAGTGGCGCTGAGATTCCAAGGAAGAGAAATACCCCGGATTCTGGCGCAGCCGCTAAGTTCCTGTCAGCATCACGTGCTATATATTCTTTGACAGACACATTGTGTTTGCGTCCTTTCCATCACCCTCTAATTGTAACATTGCTACAGGAATATTTTCCTAAATTAAATGGATCCTAATTTTGATTTTCAAAACTACTCGGCCCTGCTACGTCTAAACCGAGTGATCTAGAACTCCTGGAATTTCTCTTGTTAAGGTTATACGTGTCGTACACTACATGCAACTAGAGATCTGATGGTCTCGAGGCTTGACGATGTGTATCATTGAGATGTCACATTACAGAAATGAGCAGCCAAGGTGTTTTTATGCATGGTGTCTCTCATCTTCGACGCAGTACGACGAAATTCATGGTGTTTAGACATCCGAAAATAAGATATTGATCTCGAAGATGAAGAAAAAGCGGGAAATGCTCCTTTCTGATTTATTAGACACCCAAGTGGTTTATCTCCATTTTAAGAGAACCTAAACTCCCATTCCTTCCATTGCCAAAGAAGTACACAAAGCCAGCAAGGGTCATCATGCCTGAAGCTCATTCACACGAGTCTAGCAATAGCAGAATATCTTTACCATACCATTCACTTTTGAATCCGAAAATAGAGAATGATGAAGGACCATATCTACGAGATGACGATGCGGCTACTTTACGGCGAAAGTTTCTGTATGGAGTAATTGTGGGACTTTTCGGCGGATTATCTACAATTCTGCTTATTTATGTTACATTTTCATACATTTCTAATTGGAGAGTACCACAAAAATTCTCTCCAAATTGTAGGTTGGGATAGCAGTTCCCTCCTGGAAAGATTGCGGCAGCTTTGGATATCACTTACTCATATTTAGCAGTTCCATCACATCCAGTTATTTTTGAAGAAGACGAAAGATTTGCAGCTGCTTCTAGTCCAGAAACTGATTCAGCATGGGATAATTTAATGCCAGGTAAAATTTACTCTGAGAAGTTTTCCAGCCGATATATCTCCAGGGAAAGCTAATTAAACATCACCAGCTGGACGAGGTTTCATTCTTGTCGAAAACCCCGAACACTATGGGCTTCGACCAGGGTTACCATCAGCAAATGGACTAGATCGATATTCGGTTTCCGTATTCCACCAACTCCATTGTCTGGTAAGATCTCTTTCTCTTCGCTCTCTAATCCATCCGAATCACCATCTAACCCTCTCCAGGGCATGATCCGCGAATCCTACAACTCGGTCCTCAAGGAAGTTCGCCCGCACATCCACGGCGACGAAAACCTCTCAAACTCAGCGGCCCAGGAATCGGAAAAAGAACATACATCCCACTGTTTCGATTATTTACGACAAGCAATGATGTGTTCTGCAGATTTGACTATCGAATGGGCAATGGAGATGCCGGACGGAAAACCTCCGTTTACAGTCGATGGGTGGGGTATCACTCATACATGTAGAAATTGGCAGAATGTTTTGAAGTGGATGGGAGAGCATCGGAGTCCCGTGAATAGTTCGGGGATTGCGTAAGAGTTTGGGAGACGACAATGGGGTATGCATTGCTACGGCTTGGTGTCCACATGTTCGACGAACTTTTTTACTTTATCTTTACTCGCATCCATCATGAATATCAATCCATAATTTACTTGAAATCTGAAATTCGCGATAGTCATGGGCAAACCTTTCCCCACCTCAACAATCCATCGCCTCAATCGTCTTCATCGCTAATTATCTATTCCGAAAACAGCTTTGCAAATAGTGGGGTACATGTCATTTCCTCCACAACATCTCCAAGATCTTACAGTGTCTAAAATGTACAGCTAGCTACCGTCCTATGGGCAGATACCGAGGAAAGGTCACTTGCATATCTCACACGCCCGAAAGAGGCAGTCCAGCGATTTACCCGAAAGGCAGGTGCCAAGGCATCCATCGCTGGCATCCGGAAACTAGAGGTTTATAGGAAGGTGACATGTACTGATAGCGGACCCTGATATTTCTTTATAGATATATAAACTTAAATAATAATAGAATGCTAGATTTCGACTATTGTTGCAGTTTTACACTGCATCGCAAACTTAGGAGAGAAATTCAAACACGATGATATAAAACAGAGAAAAAATAAAAGCGATCAAAAAAATGTTGGCACCCCGCTCCACCTCCACGAAACAATCTTCATCTCTCCTCATCTCCTTTCTCTTCCTCATAGTTATCCTCACGACTCTTATATATTTTCTTCAAACATCCTCTGTATCTTTTGTTTCTCCCCCCTCTTCATCTCATTCACACGCCTCCCCATTATCTTCATTCACACCCTCTATTCCCTCATCCCTCAACCCCTCATCACCCCTATCCAAAACTGTTCTATTCTCCGAACATTTAACATATGAAAATCTTTCCCATGAATATGATCATCTTTGGGATGAATTACTTCCACAAAATAGAGGGTTTCTAAGGGTTTATGATGAAGATAGGGAGTCGAATGGGAAGGGAGATGCGGAAGGAAAGAGAGGAGAAGTACAAAAGGGGAAGAAACATAAATATGGAATAACGATGTTTCATTCTCTCCACTGTTTAGGAATCATGAGGGGAGGAGTACAGGAATTATTCAGGGAGATGGAGGAGTTGAAGATTGAAGTTGAGGAGTTGAAGATGGGGAAGATGGAAGATGATGAAGATGAGGAGAGCAAGGTGAGGAGGGAACAGAAGAAAAAGAAAGCAGGAGGGGGCCATGGGCATGGTCATGATTTTGGTCACATGGAACATGGGAATCCACTACATTGGTTACATTGTTTTGATTATTTGAGACAGGTATGAACAGTTCTCATTCACATTATTCCTGATTTCTTTGGGGACCTTGGGACACCAATCTGGAGGCCATATATTTTCACTAGTAAGTAACATGCTCGGATGCTCGTCTCGGAGTATGATTGCTAGCGGATGGAATGAAATAGGAAATCATTGGATATAATGTCTTTGTATAGAAGACTGAAGAACCTAGAACTGACTTCGCACCAAAATTCTAGACGGTACTATGCACAGCTGATGGTACACTTGAGCCACCAAAAGCTGATTCAAAAGGAAAGGAAAATGTCGACGGGATGATGGAGAGGCAATGTAAGGACCCTGAAGAGTTGTGGAAGTTGAGCGTTGAGTCTTTTGAGGCAACTAGTTAAATGGTTGATTATCTAATTCTATCAATGTTCTCGTTATTTGCACTCTCATGAATTTTCAGTTCAAAATGCTGTCATTATGAAGCTTAATCTTAGTTCTGACCCTTGAAGATGCTTAACTATCGGTTAATTACAACTCTTATGGCATCATTGTAAAATATCATGCCAATTTTTAACAACGCGTAAAGGACGATTTAATAAGCATTTTTCGATTTGTGAATTCAATGTCAAGTAAAAATAACATTTTTTTGCAATCACTCCCTTGCCCTTTGAACATTGGGAACTCAGAGAAACGCATGCCCTCCGCAAACGCTCAAAAGAGGTCTGAATTAGGAAGTACTCCCCGAAAACGATCCGAAAGCGCTTTTAGAAACAAGTGATGCCGTAGAACAAATCCAAAGTATCATGATCCATTCTATCGCGCAATGCCAAGCTCAATATCATGCACATCGAACATGCATTTACACCACATCTCGCGCACTACAATATGTATGGCCGTTTTCTCACCGCTTACAGTGGCTTTGTACCTATTTTCCAAAGATCACAATCATTTACTCGGTCAGACCATCGTGTGATACTGGCTTGTCTAGACTTGGCGAATAAAGTGGGAGTAACCTTATCCCACCATTTCTCTTGCGAATTTCCTCATAAATACAGACGAACGATGTGATGAATGACTTTGAGCCTTGCCATGCCGGAGGAACGGAAATGCAAGTTGACTCCTGTGTTCAGGAGAGAACAGGGACAGTACAAATAACATTCTAGATGGCAGTTCATTGGATTATGAGAAGATCGGGTCTTGCGATACCCTTCATACCCCTCTCTATATTGTGCAAGGTGATCAATGTACCCCTCACTCAAGCATTCAGGCCGCCCGATGAGACTCTTGATACTAGTTCCGACACCGTGAGGTTAGGAAACGAGATCGGGTATAAACTATCACCGGACCAGATGGACTGTAGGAGGATGATATACATAAGCATTTGCCATACAAACCCTTCTCATCGATCAGCCAAGTCGAGAAAATCTCAGAATAAGCAGTCTTAACAAAGAGTACCCGCCTATATATACGACCTCACTCTGAAAATTCACCACCATCATGCATTTCCAATTCTTCTGTTTTGCATCAGCCGCGCTGGCCATCGCCGTTATGGCAGCCCCGATCATCGAACCAAACTCACTTGGTATGCCTTCTGCTCATCCTATATCTGCATTTCACTAACATCGAAACGACAGCAGCACGTGAAGCTAGTATTTCTCGGGGTTTCTTTAATAACAACGACGCAGGATCTAGTGAGAAGCGGGGATTTTTCAACAATGCAGATGCATCAGGTGCTTCAAAAGACAAGAGAGGATTTTTCAATAACAATGAGGCAGGGTCAGATGTGAAACGAGGATTTTTCAACAACGCAGATGCATCAGGTGCTTCAAAGCAGAAGCGGGGATTTTTCAACAACAACGACGCATCGGATTCCTCAAAGGCCAGGAGAGGATGGTTCAACAACGGGAATTCCGCGGACGTCTCAAAACGTGATGAGGAGGTTGATGATGAAGGGTATTATTACACATATACAGATAGTACCAAGTAAAGGAACACACATTCATGGACTGCTCAGTCAGAAGTGGAGGATGTTAGGAAATGGTAGTTTTCATCGCCGTGGGAGTTCTTTTCGGGATGGTTGCGTTGGGTGGACTCAAGGACGCACGTGACTGTGTTAATACAGTATTGGATCTTGTCTATTTTCAACAAATGACAATTAATGTTTCTCCTTCATCATGTGGGAACAAATCACCCTCAATCATGACAGTAACACATGTATCTCATTGATGAAACAAAGCTCGCGAGATAACAAGAAGGGAGAACTAGCGATTGGTTTAGTGATAATGAGCAACAGGGACTCAGGTTTAAAGACGTAGGATGAATACTCATAGTTCGTTAAATTGATATACAGAGTTGAGAGGCTAATAGTCTAAACATGAGATGAGCTTAACTGTACGCCTTTCTCCTTTCCCCCAAACACCTTTCCATCTATCCCTTTCAAATATACAGTTAAAAACTTATGCATCAAGAAGATTTTACTGCAATCGGTGACATCCGGCTTGCGAACTTCACCTTGGCAGCTTGTGGACTTTGCGATGCTAACTTTCTCCTCAAAATAGCCATGGTTCTTTTGGGGATCCAGACTCGACTACCCAAAACTAAAACCCCAGACAATAATGCCAGACTTCCAGCTTGATGGGCAGAAGCAAGTGGGGTAGGTACTAGGTATATCAGAGTGCTGATACCCAAAGAAACTTGCAACATCAAAAGATGAACTACACCAAGCATTCCTTTTGCCCCGCTTTTTGGGAGAGCAGCTTTAACTCTAGGGTTGAAGCGTGAATATGCCCATAGAGCGAGAATAGCAGTAAATGAAGTGGTTGCTAGTATACGGTGGTCTAATTGTACTGTTGACGGATTCTCGAGCATATTACGCCACCACAAATCACTACGATCCGGTTGTCTGGAATAAAATTCGGAGAAGAGTTCGGACTTTGGTGGCGCGAATCCCTTGCCCATTCGAGGGAATTCATTATAAATAAGACCGGCATCAAGACCTGCGACTAATCCACCGGACATGGCTGTTGTGAAGACGAGGAGAGCAAGACCAGCAACGGATTTACGGAATACTGATAGTGAGGACGATGATAGGCGGAGGAGATGAGCATGCGCCTGAGCGGGTGTAGAGTTAAACAAAAGTTTGCGATCGCGAAGAATTGAGAGACCGTTCCAAAGCATCGCAGTGTAACAGATGAAAGCAGTGCCGAGATGTGTGGTAAGCCTGTATTGAGAAACGCGGGGATGAGAGCCGGGGGCGAAAAGATCGTCCTTCAACCCTGACTTAACCATCCACCAACCAATAGCTCCCTGGGTGCCAATGAGTCCCGATATTCCTAGTAAACGAAGAGCCATAGGCTTCGAGACTTTACGACGGGCGACGAAGTAGACCGCTGGGACAACAAAGGAGAGTCCAATGAATCGTCCCCATAATCGATGGAACCATTCCATGAAATATATCTTCTTAAATTCTGCCATGGTCATATGTGGATTGAGAAGCTTGAACTCTGGTGAGGCTCGATATAAGTCGAATTCACTCTCCCAGTCTGCGGCAGAGAGAGGTGGAAGAGATCCAGTGACGGGTTTCCATTCTGTAATACTAAGACTTGAGGGGGATCAGCAAAACGCTTTAAGATGACTGTATTGGGAGACCACAAGAACAAATAAGGCAAATGAAAGCATCTTGGTCACATCACACTTACCCAGACTCTGTCAACCGTGTGAGACCTCCAAATACAACGATTCCAAATACACTTGCAGCACTTCCCAATAGCCAATAACCGACTGATTTTGAACTTGTTTCCGGAAACCTGCTTCGTGATGATTCTTTCTTTATTGCTTGACTGGATTTGCTTAATGATTCAGCCAGCGAACTCAATGGAGAGGCTCCATTGGCAGATTCAGTAATCGTAGCTATGTTACTATTAAATCGTATTGAGCGCGAAGATATGGATTTGGCGGGGAACTTTATTTGCCGTAATGTAGGACGAGGTTGTTTTAAACACTGATGACATATAAAGAAATCCCTAGATAACCTAGGAGTTACCTTTCGCAGTCCTGGTAAGATTGAAGCCATTGATCAAGAGTTGACGTGAGGGAAACCAAGAAGAGAGAAATCACAGTGGCATGTTGTTGATTATTACTAACCTTACTAACCTTTGACTCAATCTCGCTCCAGATCTCGAATAATTGTGGATTACCTCAGCCATCGAGAGTAAATTACTACGGTCACGGGATTTGGCGAAACCGTTTTTCTCCGTTACAAGAGTTCAGTGGGTGAACCCTTCAAGTAGGTACGAAGTAATAAGTAATCAACACCAAACACAATTGATCGACAGCAAGGGTTCAGATCAATTGAACCCGATTAATCCGAATTCATCATTCTAATTTGACACTAGATTTGCACATCCTGAGTACGACAACAGCGACGACGGCGACGTCTCCAATTTTAATGGAAAGGAGGAATTCGTATAGTGTCGTGTCTATAAATCTAACATAGTTCCCGAACAATCTCAATGAATTATATCTGTATATTTCATTGATATTACACACGTATATATTTGACCCTTCATTCTTCACCTAAGGCATGCAACAACTGTTCTCTCCTTTTATTTAATATCTAATTAATACCATGTTCTCAGCTCGCGACACCGATACCCCAAACCCATTTCGACCCGCGCTCCAATATCTTATCGATACTGCGAATTCAAATCTACCACGAACTCGTTCGAATCATCGGAAAAGTTACTCAATTAGTAGTTTGGACTCAGATGGGGAGAGCGGCGATAAGATGTCTTCTCGAAATGCAACCACCTCGTCTGAACTTCACCCATCAATCCCGCTTATAAATATATCTAGAAGTCCTTCCCCCTATCGCCCAAGAGCTGGCTCGGGTTCCGATCCGACATCAGAAAGCGACGAAGAATACGATAATTGGGGCACATCATCCAGGCGGCCTATTCTTTCCGGGGTAGAACCAAAATACACAGGCTGGCGATATGCGCTCTACAGTGGAGGACTGGGCCAATTCCTCTTCAACACAACACTAGGCTGGCGGTTTTATGTCGGAGTTCTGGTATTTTGGTTAGGGGGCTGTGGCATAGGTCTGACTGTCATGAACCGAATAGTTCTTTGGAGTGGGTACCTGCAAGAAAACTATACTTCATATACTAAGCTTATGATCTTATTAGCCGGAGTTTATAAGTTTCCCTGGCCTTTAACGACTACATTTATCGAATTGTTGATCACCCACGGATTTTTATGGCTTTCGGCATTCCTTACAAGATTAGCAAGTCCAGTGTGTATGACTGCGGGCGTGTCGAGTGCGGTTGCGCCAAGTACACCTTTACACAATTCGAACTTACCTGGGTTTAGAGGAGAGGGAAAGAAGCAAGGGTTACTTTCGACTCTAGGAAGGTTGTCATCTGCAAGTTCCGGAGGTATTGCTGGTGGTGGGCTGTTCGAATTCGACTATGCTGTCGCTCGGCAAGTCTTGCCCCTCGCCGTTATTTTTGTGGTGAAACTTATATTGAGCAATATCTCTTTCGCTTACGCCGAACTTTCTATATATGTCATGGCTAGGATTGGAATCATTCCATTCTCTCTACTATTCACTACGATCCTTGGACAACAGCAGCATTCTGCATCCACTATCTCATCAGCTTTGATTGCTACTCTATTTCTGCTACTAGGCACGATGAAGGCTGGTCTTCGTGCTCCATGGGAAAGTATAGTTGCTGGAGTCTTTTCATCCATTTTTGTTGCGTTATATCCTGTTCAGATCCAGCGTACATATAAAGCGCTGGTCGCTCAACTTGTTCCTCAAGGCGACCTCCTAGGGGGTTTCGCTTCCGGTAACGGCCCATCCGATTTCTCTGGTTCTCGCGAAGAAAATCGAGCATACTGGCGTCTGCTACACTATACATCCCTTCTCTCCATCCTCATTTTCATTCCTATTCTCCTCTTATCTGGTGAACTGCCAGATGTCTATCGCAATTGCTATTTTCTGGATGTATTCTTTCATTGGTTGATGGTTCTCTGTGGCGGGACTGGATCATGGGCAGTATTTTGGTGCACAATTGCATTGACTAGAGCAACCGGTCCCCTTACGACAAGCTTTTTGTTTGTGCCAAGAGCTGCATTCTTGTTACCTATCATGGCCGGTTTTAAGCTACCAGCCTCCAATTGGATTGGTTTTGGTTTGTGTTGGGCTAGTTGTGCTTGGTTTTTAATCGGACGGGTGAGAGAAGGGAGACCCATTGAAAGATTGAGGTGACCAAACTATTTTCACAGAACCCGGCATGATTTATTGTATATAGTCCGGAACATGTGAGTTGGATAGAGGGCAATGTAAATTAACGAGAAGTTTCATAGAACTTATATCTAAGGCCTTGTGCCTATGCCTTGATTCGACCATTAGGAAAGACCTCAACGAAGTAGTGTGGCGCCATTCAAGCCTGAGCCGTAGCGTTTATGAGTGCTTTCACGGTGGCATTCGTAGCGTCATTGATTGCTTCCAGCAGCGTATGCGAGGTAGATTCAACAGATGCAACTGCGGTGGCATTTGCGGTACCGTTTGTCCCTCCTAGTTCCTCTGCTGAGCATGCTCTTTTCCCCAAAAAAACTCGGGAGCTGGGCCACAGGCCCATTCGCAAACATGTAAAACCATATCCAAGCAATAAGTGGCGTTACAATACTTCTTATACGATGAAACCTTGATTGTTTTAACACCTCGATCAATCGAACGTCTGGAATGTCTTCCACATCACAATATCTGATGTCACGAGACTCTAAGTCGCCTATTAATATAATATCTAATAGAATGCAGCGCCATCGTCGAAGGGCGACTATGGAAGTAGGCTCGGACATCTTGAAGAAGATTAAGCTTAGGGTATATGAGTGCGAAAATGAGTGTAAAAGCAAGAAACATGTGGAGAATTGCTGTAATAGTGGACTTCTGAAGTCCTTTTATAGTGGCATTGCGTCTTGCATTATCTTGCTCGACGGATGGATTCATAGGATACAATGAGTCTAAATGCGCAGCTGTTTCAGATGCAGTCTCGGCTTCGTGGGTTGCATCTGCGACCTCGCTAGCTGCGGCGTCTCGATCAATTTCTGTCTTGGCTGAAATCTGGTGTATCGATTGGGAGTCAGAGTCGACAACGAATTCGGCTGTAGGTCTAGGCGTGAGCTGAGTAGAGGATGAATCTTCATTATCTTGTTGATACGGATCTTTAATCTGATCAAAATCACCATTGCCTGTTACTGGAGACTGGTTCTCAATCACTGTGCTATACTTGATAGAACTAGATTGAGGTCGAGATTCAGACTCAAATTGCTCTTCTCCATTAGATTCAAGTGCAATAGCGGATTTACCTTCCTTCAATAATTTTTGTGATTCGCTCAGTTCTTTGCCTTTGTCCCCTACTGGTATCATAGAATCGGTCTCAAAAACTGATTTGGATACGGGCTCGACATCAGCGTCAGAGTCCCCATCAAAGATAACATCGGTATCTCTTGGCGGTAAGCGGCGAGTTCTCTCAAATCTCCCATTTCCTCGTCTTTGTTCGCAACTTTGGCTTTCTCTACATCAGTAGTCGAAGATGAGGAATCGAGACTTGAAGATCGGGCATCTTTCACAAGTACTGCAAGATTAGACGGGTCATCCTCGATTGAAGCATCGGATGCGGTGGCTAAGGCTAGTTTATGTGTTAGTCATTTCATTTTGATATTGCGAGAACCATTTGTTCTTGGGAATGCATGTGAAAAGAAGTTACTTACGAGTATATTGAGAGCGACTGTTGCTATGTGTCGTCATGATTACTATGTATTCTTCTTCAAAATGATGATTCTTGAAGCAATTCTTATCCCATTTGTCTCTTTTTAGGGAAGAAACATGGAAAGTGGTCTCTAGAAATAGAATAAAATCCACGGAGAGTTTATGAAACTTCTTATCCTCGTCTGGAAGCCGTAAACGTCATAGTTTAATACTGAAGTCAAACTAACATCCACCAAGTAGTTGACAAGTTGGAAATGGTGATCATCATGAAAACAAAGTAGACTATTTCTAGTGTAGCTGTTGCGCTAATAGTGCTTGGGAGTTTACTAATTTTCTTTAGAGTTGGTGATTACAAGATCGGTGTTAACATTTGAAGCTCATGTACGTAGTAGAATAGCGTCTTCATGAAATGAGATAAGATGGTGCATCAGAAAGCTTCTCCAACCCTCACACTCTTCGCACTGCCAATTGGGGCACTTTATTCTACAATTCACCTTATTCATATCTTCAATCTTAACCCTACTATCTATCCAATGCCAAGCTTCACGCTAATACTACCAGCTTGGCGCTAGCATTCTAGCTTAACGGTTGCTAGATGACTTCATCCAGACTACTGACCCCCACCGGCATCTCTAGTAAGGCCACGAGGTTTTGGAATCCGTCCCCGCTTTCTCATTCGAGGCTGAAATTATATCAATTAAACGTCTTGTTGTATTAAAGAAGCGTTCTTTCGTCGGTTCAGTAGATTTCGATCCGGAGTTGGTTAAAAGGCTAGAGAGCCAAATATAATCGAAGATGAAAAATACAAAGGCCTCATCAAAGACACAAAATCCAGGACAACTATTGTACATGCTCACCGGAGACAAGATTAGTAAGTTCAGTCGAACGCAGGGAAAATGCATGAACTCTAATTTTCGATCATGCAGCCATGGAGGAGGAGCTTCTACGCGTGCGCCCACATCCACTTTAGCAAATCTCACCGAAGCCGCTATTTTTTTCTCGAACAACGCTTGACAAATGATACGTCTCAGCTGGTGGAGAAAGGCTAGAATGAATCAGTTACATCGCTTTTATTGCACTTCTGACACGGATTCGAGATTCTCGTGAACAGATTGAATATGGGATTTAAACAAGACGAGTTAGGTTGAGCAGTTTCTGGCACACATGGAGTTCTATCACTGGTAGCACATGAGAAAACTAACAGGCATCCAAAAAATTCCGGAGATCGATATCTATCATCCCTGCTGCTTGATTAAAAAAATCGAAACCCAGAATCTATGTTGCAGAAAAAGAAGCAAAGAATCAGTATTTGGTTTCTTTTTTCTCCATTATCCACGAGGCTTTCCCCGCTGAAGGCTCTTGTACCTCCCGGTGTGAACTTTCCAGTCGAATGATTCGCTATTCGGAAGCATTCTACGAGATCCGGGAAAAGAGATCCTGGTCAGCCTCAAAAGGACTGGTTACCAAGCATTTTAATATCATGATTGCCCTTTTCGAACAGTTCACAGATCTATCAGTGACCTATCATCTTCAATTTGACGAGGCTTTGAGATGGATAATTAATCTTCTTATACTGTTTGAATTTCTCGTTGTACGATCGTTCCATCGCATAGACATCGTGCTCCCTCCGGCATGTAATTTGGCATCGTGGTACATCAGAATTTCTTTTCACAGCAACCTATGAAGCTCCGTTGTTTCTCGAGTTTTCTTTACCGCTACATACAGATATTTGCACCGAGTTATGGCATTTATTCTTGCAAAGTCATATTTCATACATGATTACCATGCCATTATGCGCAAAGTGTAAAAGATTTCGTACTTGGATCACTTCCAAGGTGATAATCCAAGCTTCAAAGCCCTAGAATTAGTTAAGCTGGCTAATCTCATGGAATGGATGGAAACTTCATTTACATCATCAAAACAATCTAGTTAGCCTCTAGCCTCTAGCTTTCGGCTGATAAGAGTTGCCGATTATGCCACATGTTATTGAGATTTTTGAACGGCGATCATTACTTGAATCTGGAGTCATGGCGCAAATTCTCACTAGAGAATTCTCATGATCTGTACTTCAGCTTTAAGCTTCTTCGTGGGCGGAATGCAATGGTTATGTATGGAGGGCTTTGTTATAACTCTACGTGTAGGGAGACAAGTATAAGATTTGGCCTTTGAAATATTACCAAGCACCTGATCCATGGCATCAACCACAGTTGACATGGCAAGACAATGGCTCAGAGAATGCTCGGAAGATTATTCTGGATGTCGCGTACGGTTCAATTCTAAGAGCCTTCCATCAAGGCTGATCGACCTTGGGTATCCCGATCAAAGCTGTGATCTCAGTGTGCCACGTCTTATAGACACTCATGGAGCTTAGCCTTCTGATATGAAAACTGGGGAGGACTAGCAGTACGTCACTTTGAGCCACTGCTGGGGTAAATCGACGCACTTGTCAACCAAGAAAGACACATTGAATGAAAGGGAATACACAATCCCGTTTAACAGTTTGAAAAAGACATATGCAGACGCTGCCGGCGTAACCCGAGAACTACAAATGCGATATTTATGGATCGATTCGCTTTGCGATATTCAGGACTCCGATGAAGATTGGATTGAAGCATCGCCCAAAATGTGCTTCGTCTACAATAACGCTAAATTCAACATCGCCGCTGCAGTAGCGCTTGACGGAGATAGCGGTTGCTTATCCGAGAGATTGAGTGTTGAACTTGGCCATGTTCTTCGCTCGAAGAGAAAGACTATAGCGAGATCTGTGTGGATTCGACCGTGTATCAAAGCGGACACGCAACCGGGGAAGTGGGTATTTCTCTACCATGTCCACTTTTTTGCAGGGCCTGGGTACTTCAAGAAAGCATTTTGGCGGCTCGGATGCTGATATACTCACCTGTTGGCATGCACTTCCAATTTCGCATGACCAAAAGATCTGACGAAAACCCAGCGAAAGATGCAGGGGATCTTGATATCTTTGTTGGTACTAAGCTTGCTTCCTTTCCTTACCTAGCTCTAAACAAAGGATGAAAGCAATTCTATTTTCCCCGAGGAATAGACACCTGGTACCAAATGCTAGAGGTATATTTCGGAAAGCAAATATTGCGTAGAAAAGATAAGCTCCCGGTAGTTGCTGGTTTGGCGTATTAGCTCGGATTAATCATAGGAGATACATACCTTGCAGGCCTTTGGCGCGCGACTTTCCGCAAGCCTTGTGCTGGTTGCCTCATTCGACCTAATTGTGGATGTGTTCGTCGCTCCACGATGCCGGCTGATTCCAGATATAGCGCTCTTTCATGGTCATGGGCATCGTGTCATACCCTCTTCAGTTATGCTCCCGTGGCTTTCAAGGGCACTAAAATGCCAACAGAATATTTACCACTCGGTTATTAATCTTGTCCGGATTCCGAGGACACAGATGTTTTAGGGGATGCAATGTTGGTAGCTGCCCACAAAGACTTCGTCTCCCACCGCTGTGGGCCAGTGAAAAGTGGATCAATCACTGTCAAGGGTCATCTCCTCAAGATTGATATTTCTTGCTTCGTAAGTCCATTTAGAGAAAACGTCGCAGTCTACAACGGGTTGGCATTAGGAACGTTTTACGCTGATGCAAAATTGGATTTAAGGAAAAATAACTGGGCCCTTTTGTTAGGATATGAGCGTCGCAAGACTACCATCAAATCTTGAAGTTCAACGAAAGAATGCACTTTGGTGCTGTTGAAGCAGATGAGAGATGGAATGGAGCGAAGAATCTGCCTGGGGTTGAATTTGATGGAGTTCGGGTGTGGCTCACTCAAACGTGTTGCATACTTCCAGAAATTTGATGCAGTATGGCCACCTGAGACAAGAGACGTGGTAATCTGGTAATCTGCGGAGGTTCTATAAGAATTATCGTCATCTTTTTTAAAGATTAGGACTTCTATTCACCGAGTAAGGTGAGTTTGATGAGCAGATTAAGTTGTGAGATTTTAGCTATGAGCTCTCATTTGTAATGGAAAACATTCCTGACTATACCGTCGTATAATGGTATCAAGATAGCAAAGATATAACAGGGATCCTACTGCCCAACGTTTGTGAATCTCAAATAAGGCTTGACCTCTCTAACCCCTCCAAATTTCTTCCTCGCATCTTCCGTCTTGACTGTCGGGGGCACAATAACATCATCTCCTACCTGCCAGTCAATGGGTGTAGTGACGCCTTTCTTATCTGCCGTCTGCAAGCTATCAATGACTCTCAGCACTTCCTTAGTATTTCGCCCACAGCTAGCTGGGTACATCATTGTGAGTCTGATCTTTTTGGCAGGATCGATAATAAAGACGGAACGAATGGTGAATGCAATGCCTTTTTGGTCAATGTTGGTCGTGTCTTGAGCGTCGAGCATATCGTAGAGATAAGCTACTTTGCGGTCCGCGTCCGCGATGATGGGAAATTGTAGTGTGGTCCCAGAAACTTCGTTGATGTCTTTAATCCATTCTTTGTGGGATGGGAGAGGATCTGCGGACTATTTCCATCCAACCCAGATATTAGCATACAATGTGCTGGATCGAGTTCCTATAGATGTCATGAAATGATAGCATACCAACCCAATCATGTTCACATCCCGTTTCTCAAATTCGTCCTTTAGTTTCGCAAAAGCGCCAAGTTCGGTCGTGCAGACTGGAGTAAAGTCTGCGGGGTGGGAGAACAAGATTGTCCATTTGTTGCCGATAAAGTTATGGAAATCAATCGGACCTTGGGTTGTTTCGGCTTGGAAGTTGGGTGCTGTGGTGTGGGATAGTTGTTAACATTCAATTGAATCACAGATGAAGTCAAGCTTTCTGGGGAAGATTGAGTTATCAAAAAGACCATACCTTCGGAACCCAATCTCAATCGTGGTTGCTCAGGTAAAGTGTTTGTGGCCAGGAATCGTCGCGAAAGAGGGGCAACAGCTTGAGCTCGGAAGGAGTTCTGAATAGGAGAAGCGCGGGGTAATGCACGAATTGTTCTTGGAACTATACGAGCAAAAATGGTGGCCATTGTGATCCGATTGAATGTGAAGATTTCAGGTTAAAGGGAGTGAAGCTGTTGATGTATGTTTGGACTCAATTCATCAATAAGATGTCAACGGCGAACAGCTTGAATAATGTGTGACGTGATTACTAGGGGTCAAAAGGCTAAAATGCAAGGCTAGGGTATAGGATGTGGGGTAAGATTATAATCTTACAAGCGAGGGGACATCACCAACTACAAACTTCATCCTTTTTCAAAAATCTTTCCATCGATAAAATGGTGCTCGTTGGACTTTGGATACTAGTAAAACCCTCGAACGGGATATCGATATTCATACTATGTCAAATGGATCAAGTTATCGTATGTACTTGGATGCATATTGATGCCTCCAGTGATTATTTTTCTGAGCACCATGTGTATATTTACTTCTAAAGTTATGTATGTATATCTGAGTATTGTATCCCTCGTCATGCAGGTTTGAAGCCTTTCTTCTAGAAAGACCCTAGAGGAGATACTATTGGGAAAGATTTCAGAGATTTGATGCTAGTGGCAACTTTCTTTTTGGACACAGTGTTCCCAAGTTCAAGCTGGCGAGGAGCCGTTGTGATCCCTTGTTTATCAATGTCATTATGCGGATGGAAAATTCTACGTTCAAAGGAGAAGACGGTCTGGTTTGTTTGTGCTACTTTGCAGTCGATGATATCTCTCTGTTGCATCAAATATAGATTGCAGTGCCAGCTACTAGAGTTCAAATCTTGACCTATTGGAGACGGAACGGATGAGGAATTGGTAACAGCATCAGTCACTAACATTGGACTATATGTTCGAGCTCTAGCAGAGATCATGGCATCGAAAGTAGAACTGTTTGTACATGTTGCGTGATATGCGTGTTTTGCTGCTCAATTGATAGATACTGGCTGAATTAAGCTCGAGCAAACAGCTGTCAAATATCACGACTTTTCAAAATGAACCTGAAGGTAAATCTTTCATTTCTACATCTTTTTGTGGATACGCCTAGTTCCGTATTCCAGTGGATTCCACCGTCACGGAAAGATCAGTGGTCAATGTGTTGTGTGTTGGAGGAGGATGCAATAGTGAATCGAGTTCCTTATTCCGAGCAGTCCCATACGGGCTCTTACATAGCTGTCCTACTCTGTTTGATGTTGATCATCATATCTTCACCTACGCAGATTCATCTATGGATTTGGAACAAGGGACAATTCAGTCCTCTCATGATAATTGCGCCATTTACCACGCAAATGCCTTTTGGAGACTTCTATATGCCGAAGATATCTATGGCTAATCATGTTTCGCAAGCTTACTGTTGTTGATTACCAGGGAGATTCTGATCTAATCAATGGCAATCTTGGAAAAGGAAAGCGGCATGCCTGAATGATAACCCCAGTTTGGTTTTCTTTTGTGAATTGAAACTAATTGTTTATACGCTCCTTACAGTGGTTTGTTATGCTAGAAACTATTGGGGAAAGAAATGGCCATAATAAGCTTTCTGGTGATAACTTATGTACTCATTCATGATTGATTCTCGCAATTATGATCATTGTAAATGTGCTTTCATTGCTGTCCTCTCGCGTTGCTGTTAATTTTATGTCCACATTGAGAGAGCTCGAATGACTTCTTCGTTTCTATCCTAATCTCCAACGTTCATCTTTGCTCATGCATACTCATGTAATCCACTGCTTCAATTCCAACTTCAGCCCAACCCTTCAAAGTCGCATCCAATCTCCTCGGGTGCCATTTCTTAGGAACTTCGGGCGGCATGTAAGAGGATTTGGGTTCTCTTGATGGCATGGAGCATATTTGACTCTAATCGCGATTTGTTTTGTGTTTGCGGTCTACTTGGTGAAGTTTTCTTCGTTTGTACCATTCGAAGTCGTGAGGTCTGAATGGATATTATGCCCGCTGGGTGAATTGGTCACTTCGTTTGCGGCCCCCTTGGATGATACCGTAGATCCACCGATGATTGTGTTAAATCCACCACGCCCCACCTCCCCCAGCTTCCTATTAGCTTTCTTATTCTCAACTTTCGTCTCTTTGACTTCCGCGTTCTTGAAATTCTTGTCTGCTGCCCCTTTCATTTGAAGTATGGCCCAACAGCCCTGACAGATGCATTCAACTCCAAGCTCGTGCTCGAGATCATCCTTCGACTTCTGGCAGATCGCCTTCGTTTTTTCAATCTGTAAAGGTGCGCCTTTCTTCTCTCCCGCAATCTCACTTTCATAAAGATATTTTTTGAAACGAGAGTTGTCTTTGAGTGACGCAGACATAGCGAAAATCATGGCTTCAAGACCGACTGCCCAGTCGTACTCCCATGGCTCGCTTGCGTCGTGTGCGTGGTGAGACATCGCAAATGGAGGAGTCTTGTATGACGAATAGGTGGGTGAATAGTTGGAATTGACTGGAAATCAATAGAAAGATCAGGAGAAGTATAGAGGAGTCTTTATACCATATAAAATATCTATGTTCGAAAGTTCGAGATTTCTTTCTAACCAGCTCATACCATCTGGTAATTTATGCCTAGTCTGTCGCTGTACTTTCTTTGTTCTCTTGCACCAAACGAGACTCCATTATTGTCAGATGAAACTTTGAATCCATACATGCGAATAAAAACATGTCAACTATCCTCACTGATCAGTCTTGTGTGTCGCGGATTCCGGAGTACCATGTTTCAGCACGTAGATAACGTTTGCGAAATCTGGTCATAGAAGTGATTAAACAAAGCAAATATGAAATCTTTGCTTCATCGACCCTAGCAATTTTTAATAAATATGTTCAAATTTTTTCGCCATGAATTGATTGAATTGATTAAATTGCAGACTCAAAAGAACTGAACATCCCAACTAAGATGCATGTATCTTAAAAAGACCTGATTAAATTGATGATTCAAAGCCTTTCACTATGGAATTGTGTTCTACACTATCGAGGTCCCCTCGAGTAACAAATCTACTGGGACTGCTGAAAATCATCATTTAGGCATCGGACCACTTGGAAAGCGACCATACCGCTATTTCTTTTGGTAGAAGAAACTAGTCAGCCGTTGCCCATTGTAATCAAACGCATTTTCAATGAATTCGAAGAAATACAAATCGGAAGAATTCCTCATCTATCGATGCTACAAAGTCTTTATCAACAGCAATTACCCAGAGCAGGTAATGCTGAACATGCCGAATGTATGTTGCAAAGACCGACTTCGATTCAAGAATACTCAACCTGTTACAGCTAGTTGTGACGAACAACGAAAATCAAAGAATGACAGACCTTCTTTACGAGGTTATGGATGAGGAGTAAGCTTAGTCTTCCTAATCTTAAAGGACGAGTCTTTCTAACTTGAATCCCAAAGATCCTCGACATTCAGGTCGTCTAACCGACTTTCTACATAATGTTGCATCACTACTACAGTAATAATGCTCTAGCAATGCAACCACTCTACAACGGAAACTACAAGTGATATGAGTTCAAATAAAATGGCGACAGTCTTTGCATGAAGAGCTGATAAATCCGTGTCGTCAGCAGGGCGTCTCAGGGGCCGGGAATGCGGTAGAACTGTGTGTGTGATAGCCCCGGCATGGAGCAGTACGTGACAATTGAAGTCTTCCCTAACACACGATTGGCGATACAGATATGCTGTCGGTTGTCAATACAAATATCCAAAGATAGATCATATATGCAAGAACAATTATTGAAGCACCAATACGAGACGGAATTGTGGCTATGCCCCCACTTACTAGCATCCGCACTCGCATACTAATGCAACGTTAATCACTATCCCCACAGCCACGATACTGCGCCTATCTACTCATAAAAATCCTACTGCATATTCTAGATAATAGATAATGAATCTTGTCGTGCGCTCCGATCATGATTTTTTGAAGATACAAAGTCAAGACTGGCCGGTCCCAGATTCCGAGCCGAAAATGAATCATCCACAGCAAAATCTGATGTCTTCCAGACCGACGCCTAGGAAAAGACGATACAATATTTTGTTTTTGGGAAATGCTGGGTCAGGGAAAGCTAGCCTGAAGAATAGGGTAAGGCCCCGAATCTTTAAGACTTCGTGAGAGGGGGAGTTGACAGGAAGATAGATTGTTTATAATGATTTCCGTGGGCCCAGTTTTATCTACGATCCAACTCTTGATGATAGTCATCAAACATACATGACTATCGATTCCGAACAATTGATCGTAGAGATTAAAGAATTAAATTACGATGATCGATATGCCGGCTTTTTAGAGCTACTGATTAGACATGCCGATGGGATAATATTGATGTATTCAATCTGTTCGCCCGAATCCTTCTCTGTTCTAGAAGCCCTATGGACTGCCGTGAAACTTGTGAAGGTTCCAGAAAAAAAGGGGTTATATGTGGACGTAGTCGGGACTATGAGTGATATGTGGGAAAAAAGAAGTGTCAAGACCGAGGATGGTAAGGCATTAGCTAAAAGGCTAAATTGCGGGTTCTCAGAGTGCTCTGCAAAAGAAGGGGAGAATTGTGAGGATCTAATTGAGAGTTTGATTAGAAAGATTATGGTTGGGCGCGAGCAGGAGCAGATATTGAGGGATGCGAGACGGAGAATAGAAGACGATGAGAGGGAGGAAAGAGAGAGAAAGAAAAATGGGGTTGTGAAGAGGGTTTTCAAGAGATGTGTGGTATGGATCTTCCATCGCACTTGACCATTCACGGGGGCTTGCTGACCAAAAGAGTAGGAAATAATGACCATGGGAACTTAACTCGAGAGACTTTTGATACCACAACACGAAATAATGGAACATATAATGATATGAAAGCGAGTACTACTGTGCTCAAGTCCATTTGCTAGTTGCTGTAATACCCGCTTTGTTTCAATAGGCAAGATGTTGTTCGGATTAAAGATAAGATCGGTACGACTAATTTTACGATTCAAAGTCAAAAAACTATTTCTCTCAGAGGAAAACAGCTGCAAAATACTTCTTTGCTGCCTCTCTATTGGACTAAAATGGTACTTAATTTGCAACCCGCTTAGACCTCTTACCATCACTTAGCAGTGTTAGTGCTGAGGTGGTCGTGTTACTTGTCCGACACATTCTACCATCTGCCGCTATACTCCATGCCTCACTACCCACTGCAGTTGTGGCGTAGAACAGTTGATCTGGATCCCACTTGGTTTTTATGCCTAGTAAATTGCGGTAATTCTTCCCGTAGAAAGTTTGCTGCCAATTTGGCTGTCGGAAATTACCTTCGTTTAGGTAAGTTCCTCCCCCAGGAGTGAGCACTTCGAATTGTGGGATAATCTCATCTATCATATGGTATTGAGCAGCCACCATCTCAGAATTTGGCGCAGAATAGTTCCATGGTGTAGTCAAGATGACATGGATGAGGGCATCACGCCAAGCTGGGAGTAAAGCATTATCGGCAGTAGATGTAATGTGAGGAGATGAGACGTTCAGAGCTACGCCTGTATAAAGGATACCCGCATTTGTGACATTACGAATAGTTGCGACAAAAGCTTTATTATTCTCCTGGACGACACTTCTTGATATCAATCGACCACCACCGGTATTGACTCCTGGCCCACCCCAAGGGCCATAAGGGAGAGGCCCAAGATATTGATTGTAGTGTTCAAGATATGTTGGGTACTGTGTGTACGCCACAGTAAAATTGATACCAAGAGTTGTGAGTTTGTTGGTGAAATTGGCCAAGAGAGTTTGGACGTCAGCTTCAGTCTTATTATATGCTGTCATACCAATAATTCGAAAAGCTGAAGACGAAGCCCCATAGCCAACCATAGTTCCTGCATCGACCATTTCAGGAAGATGATTATGAAAGGCTTCGACGCCATTCCAGAAAGCTTCAATGCTCGTGTTGCTGCCGGTTGCTGAAAATGCTAAAGAGGCACCGCTGACTACTGTATCAGGATATACTCTCACGATGAGAGATAGAATGACTCCATATGTCCCTCCACCACCGCCACTCAAAGCCCAATAAAGGTCTTTGTTTTCGGTTCGTGAGGCAGTGACTACGTCACCACCGGCCGTTACAACTTCCCAGGAAAGCGCTTGATCGGCACCCATACCAAAACTGCTAGAGAGTGCTGAATGACCACCTCCTTGTGTGTATCCTCCGGCAATTCCAACTGTAGGACACTCACCACCTACCGTTACGAAACCTGCATCATGAGCAGACTTTAATGCTTCAAATCCTTGAATACCAGCTCCAATCTTCATGGCCTTTCCGGTAAAATAGTCGGAGTTCCAGTCAGAAAATGATATATTCTTCAAGTTGTGAGTCCAAACAGCTAATGAGCCTGCACCGGTTGACTTGCCTAGATAGCTGACATAGTTTTAGCTAAAGCATAGCATTGGAGTTTCCTGCAAGAGAAACTTACTCGTGGCCAGTATTCCGGATAACAAAACGTATGTTATGATTCTTTGAGAATTGAATAGCAGCAACGGCATCATTGGGTGTCGACACATTGACAGCATAATTGACCAAATTTCCTAAGCGGCAAGGACTTTTTTCGGAAGAAACGGGGTCGCAGCTCTGATTTCCCAGTGTCGCAAAATATGGAGCTATCAAGGAGGAAGATGAATTCCAACTAGATTTAGAGTTAGAAAGTTCAAATGGTATGAATTTTAACGCTGCGAAGGACTTACTGCAGACTTGGGTTCGCCCAGTTCACCTGCAAATATGCACATTCCGTTGCATTGTAGTTAAAGTCATGGCAGGGACTTGCGATGGGCACCGTGCGTATTAGCCTACCATTGACTGTATTGTTGAGATTATTCCACTCTGTTGCAGATGGCCATGATTGGTCTTCAGGCAGCGCTCTACAATTGGCATTTTGTAAAGTCTGCGCAGATGATCTGCAAAACAAGTGTATAAGAAGTAACACAATTCTATAAGACGCCATTGTCTGTATGGTGCAAGTCTCGTCCCTACTGAAAGGCAGAAGACTTGAAAGGTGTGAACGAAGTAGTCATGATGAGGTGAACTGTGCCTATATATATGGATTTTCTTATGGTGTGTGATTCTGATATCTTCAAGGAGGGGTATTATTCAGCTAGCTGCAGGTACTAGTACCAAGAAGGGAGCAAATGGTCGATTTGGATCCACGTCATGCCGCCTCTTGTATACCCCGTCCAATGAAAGATGGCGGCTTGAACGTGGCCATGAAGTCCAAAATCCAGAAGCAATTTGAGCCCTGACGATTGACGATTCGATGATAATTGTAACCCTATATTTGCCACCCTTTCATGTCTCTTTCGCCCCAAATGGAATGAACTGTATGCGTAGAAAAGCCGAGGTCTCTGATCATCACCCTTGTATCGCCAATCGATTTCGTGCATTCTGCATTGCCAATCATGGAGATGATATGTTATTTCAAGATCTCAACTCGGCATGCGATTGCCAGATCAATCAAACATAAAGTTTCTTTACTTCAATCGATTTAATATCGAAACAACGAAGTGTTCTTGGAGTAAGTTGCAATGGCAACAATCAAATGGACCAAAAACTCTTATTTCTTGGTTTAAAATACATCAAAATGAATGAACTAGTTGATTCAGCTTCAATTGGGAAGCAGAGCTGTCATTAAGTTTCATCTTACTTTAGCGGGCTTGGTGTTCGGATTTTCTGGACAATCCCGAGCGCGATATTGTTGCTTGAATCAGAGTAAGCGACGAGCAGGTCATTTTCCATCTTCAAAAAATCGCGATAATTTAATACAATACAAGAATATGATATTCATGTGCCATATGATCAAACGGGAATGATTTGGGGACTTCCAGAATGTAAACAATTGATTGTGCTCTAACCCATCAAAAGGCCCTCTTTGGTGAAAACTGTCTGGTAAGTTCAATCAAAGATAATCGACACTCAAGAGCTTGTGAAGCTTGATTTTTGACCATTTTGATAGCGAGGAAAGCTCTCGAAAACCCGTTTGACAAATTCAACTGTACATGAAGTTCTGAGGAGTACCCACTCACCCAATAAACATAATGAAGCCTGAGCTGACTCATTATTCAGCATTTGCACTTCAACATGGTTGTTTTTTGATCAAATTTAGACATCAAAAAGTATTGTATTGAAAATTTGAAGATGCTGTACCGAGTACTTGAAGGAATTTGATGTGCAATCTATTTCGTTCACTGCATGCGCACTACTATACTTAGCAAAGTGCCACTCGTTCAAATTATCCGCCCAATAATGTCATTTATCCTGCATTTGCGGAAGAGAATCCGCCCTTCGCAAATGTGGATTTCCAGTCAAAAATGAGTATTGAGTTGATGAAGGGAGGTCTCACACTTCGAAGGTCGTTAGAGTGTTTCGAGATTATCTCAAACCAGTAATGAATCACGATCGGAACAGCCAATCGTGAAGATGAAAAACTTTCCCAGTTTTGGCTTCGCGCTATCCATGAACATTGGGAGAGATCTAAACAGCTGCTAACAGTAATACAACTGAAATGAAAAATTGAGAGCACTAAATGTGATTTGCGTTTCACTACAAATCTAGAACCATGGAAGACTTACTTCCCCACAAGATTACCACAAATGCGAGCCCTGTATCTCCATCAACAGGATGAGGACATACGAGCAAATCATACAAGGGCTGGGCAAATATTCAAATTTAGTGTTACCCCGGATTGCATGATAGATTCTGCAATCACTGAGCCTATAAGCGAGCTGAGTCCGGGGGCGCCCAGCTACCCCTCAAACTCAATTGAGTATAGCCTCCGCCATAAAAAGTAACCCTTGTAAACGTATTGCCTTGTGGTATCTTTGAACAATCATTTGATCTCCATGCATTCTGGAATCTTGAGTAAAGGCGGAGAGTGCTGCTTCCGGTTTCTTTTGGGTAGTCTAAGTTGCTGTGGAGTTTGTATTTCGCGCGTCATAGAACTTTTGGGCCCAGAGCTCGACTGGACACATTAGAACAAATGATGTTGTACATAAACCATCAGGGTTCCTTTCTGATTTATGGACGAGAATTCGGATCACCTTGTTGATAATAGTGAATTGTGATGAAAGACGCTCTATTTCATAATTGAGGTCCCGTCAGATTAGCCACAGATATCCAACAAATCAAGGAGTCACTTATTATCCTTGAAAGTCTGCGATCATCGAAACATCTATTCCTATAACAGTTTGCTGCTTGTCAGGGAGCCATCTTCACTATGTCCGCGGACGAAAAGATAGGTGTGGGGACACACGAAGAACATGTAGGTTTTATAAGAGAAAAAAAAAACAGAGCGATAGTAGGTCGTCGTCCTCTGCTTCTTTTCGCAAACATTGGATGCGCTATAGTATAGATCGGTGCCATAGTTTCATCATCCATCAATGCCAATACAGGTAGTAAGAGCAGTGGCTCTGCTGTTGTTGCGATGATGTTTCTCTTCGACGCGATTTTCGGTGCAGGTTTTACGCCGTTGTAAGCATTATACCCTGTAGAAGTCCTGAATTTTGAGATGAGGGCAAAAGGAATGGCATTTAGCAACTTTGCTGTATCCGCAGATACGTTAACTCTGTACTAGCAACGCCTTCTCCTTGTGGTGACTAATGACTTTGATAGCGACCCTCGTGAACCAGTTCGCATATCCTGTGGCTTTGGAAAAGATCTAGTGGAAAACTTATCTCGTTTTTGTGCTTAGGTGTCTAATACAGGCACTTGTGATTTATTTCTTTATTCCTGAGACGAAGAACCGAACTGTAAGCTGAACTCAAAATTGAAACAGGAAAATGAGAATAAATCTGACACTGCACTTCAGTTGGAAGAACTGGATGATATCTTCAGGGCTATGAACCCGAGGAAAGCATCTTTTGAGAAGAAGAAATTGGCACTTGACGATAGCGTAAATGTTATCAAAGTGGAGGAGTTTATTTGAGAGTAGTTGTTTGAAAGGGTTTGCAGTGATGGCGATTCGATATTATCCCATGCAGTAGAGAGCATCCTTCAAATATTTTGATTATTCTTTGCGTTTGTAATAATAAACAGAGGGAATTATCGAAAATCTTCCCAAACATTATTTTTCATCGTTCAAGGTAGCAAAGATAGTCAATGTCGGCATATTAATGATAGGTTTGAGAATCTCATGCAAGAAGTAGATATTGATGTTTATAATTGTGGTGGTTGTTCTTCTGAATTGTCATTTATGAGAGTTCGTAAGCATAGCTTCACTACCAAGGCGAGCAAGGTAGGTACTGTACCTAGGTAGGCCCCCCTTAGATAACCTTAGCGCTAAAATTTAACGCCACGCCACGCCACATCACAATGTTCTACCTAGTGTTCTTTTGTAACACTGGACTATTCCAAGGTTCCCAGGTGTTTTTGCTCATGTTCGCAACACGTCAACATTGTGTTAATATAGCACGACAGGCACATATAATGAAGATTCAAACACTCTATTCCAAGTGTACAGAACTTGATACACCCTTGATTTCTATACTGCAGATTATAGCAAGAGCTAGTCGTCACAATAGCTGATACGCCCCAGCAACCTCTCTCTCCAACGTGCATACGCAAAGTATTCACTCTATTGCACTCGAGCAATCCGTGAAGCTTTTTGACTCCTCGCGATTCATTGACTATAGGCTAGTTGACGGTATGGAGCTTGCAAGGTCGTGAAAATAAATCCATCTGCGCATGCGCCGCCCTGGACTGGTCCTTCCATGAGCTGACATATGACCTGACATGGCACATCGATGTTTTGGAGCAAACTACAGGAAATGTCATCGGACTTGTTCTCTAGATTAAACATTCCAGGCACATATCGCTTAATTGATGATCTTTCCGTAATGCATTTGTGGTACGGAGGTTTAAATAGGCGTCTCGGTAGAGGCACAGAGTATTTCCACCAGCCTTTCCCTCAGACATTTCCTTCAAGCCAAGTACCCTGGGGGAAACATGGGGACATAAGTGAAGACGTCGACTAATATCGAAGCACGTAAAACATTTTGTCTAACTTTTCACAAGGCTCTAGAACAAGGGCGATGTGATAAATGATTCAGTCGGTCGACCTGAAATAACATTGCCACTATTGCATTTCTTTCGGACAGGCACCATTGAAATGGCAAACATTATTCCTCCTACTTCGAATCGCATGAACAATATCATTCAAGCTCTTTTTCCCCCCGCCGCCGTCGCTGCTGCCGACCATGCTAAGCCGGATCTGAGGTTATTAATCTGTCCGTATCGGACAACAATCTTCTGCGCCCTGATTTGATTGAGATTTGCAAAGGTGCCATCGCATAAGAGATGAATGCGGAGGTTAGTAAACAGCTATCATACCAAGATCTGACTTCAGATGCACACACTGAATTGTAAGCAATCAGACATTCAATTATCCGGCAGGACTTGGAGGAGGACCATCGCTCATAGAATTGGTTTCTAAATTTTCGAACAAGTGCTTCAAACTAGCAATTCCCATCACGTCTGATAATCTTGTCACTGCCTCTGGAGTCGGTTTTTGTCTTGATGCTATAGCGTCATGCATGTGTGAGCCGGGAGATTCAATTCTAGTTCCTGGTCCCTGTAGGAGTTTGTATTTTGTCACTTGCCCCCAACGAACTTTAGTGATTAACTTTCATAGATAGTGTAGGCGCTTATCTGTGCTATCATGCTAGTATCACAATGTTTCCAGCATACCCAAGCCCTCCATCTACAACTTTAATCTCCGAAACGCACTTTCCTGCTCTTGAGACAGCATATAACTCTTCTCCGGATCCAAAGCGGATCAAAGGCTTGCTTATTTTCAATCCTCATGCTCCTTTTGGACAGTATTATTCTCAATCTGTTCTACAGGACTGACTGGAGTGGAGTGCAAAGAAGGGTCTGCATTACATCTCTGATGAGGTCTATGGTTGTTTGGAATTTGGATGTGACGAGAAAGCCGAAAGATTCGTTTCGGCACTTTCGCTACTCGATTACTCTATAGGACCAGAGCGCAAAGCAATGATTGGCAGGAGCAAAGTCCATGTTCATTGGAGTGCGAGCAAATTTTTCGGTCTTCCCGGAATCAAGTTAACATAACCTTAATGGGTGGACAGAACTGACTAATTTCCAGGGCTGCTTAATAACTCAGTCTAATCCTATGCTCCGTATCGGTGCCATCATCTCGACTTACAATCAAACTTCCTCGCTCCCTGCTCTCCTTCTTACCCATTTACTCAACTCCGATATGCTCCCTTTTTTATTGAATAAGAATAATGCTTTTCTCTCCAAAAATTGCACTTTGCTCACCTCTACTTTGAATCACTTCGGAATAGAATTTCTCCCCGCAATTGCAGGTTTTGTTGTATTCACCAAGCTTGCGAAAGATACAGAGACGTGGAACGAAGAAGCGATTGTGAAAATACTACAAGAACATAAGGTGATAGTCAGTCCTAGAAAGCAATTTGGCGGTGCAAAGGATGAAAAGGGTTGGGCGAGAATCACCATTGCTGTGCCCGAGGAAGATTTCAAAGAGGGGGTCAAGAGAATTCGGGCATATTTTGTCGAAAACCTGTCATAACAGTAGTAGATCAGTTGAGACTCTTTATAGTTTCATGAGTAGATCTCGGTCATTACCAACGCTATTATATTGCAATCACATCCAATCATTGTGTACATTCACCTATTTGATCTGTATGGTACTAAAGCAAACCCTGAGTCCTCATCAGCTCACGTGGAAAAGCAGTTAAGAAAATACAAAGATGAAATCTCATTCAATTTACCTTATGATACATAAGCTTAGTTGGCTTTGTCCCTAACTTAACCTTGGAAATGTGAGTGGTGTAAGCGGGTTCAAGGAAGTCGGCCATGACGAAAGTGTATTCTATAATTAATAATCTATTCGTGTCGTTTGAATTGAATCAATGGACATTCTGTATGATTGTATGACTGTGCGACTCATTTTCCTCTATCCTTGTCCCGCTTGGGACTATGTCCCCGTCTTCATCCCTTAGAACTTTGATCTGTGCCGGTGGTCTGATCTTGTCTTCTTTGACTGTTTCCTCGCGACACAGAGTTCTCTCCTATTCCAGTGCTTTGGCTTGTCTTATGTCCTTTTGACTTCTTCCCCTTTCTTTTGCCTCCCTCTCTGGTATCGGCTGCCGCTTCTTTATTTAGCGTCATCAACATTCTCCTAAGCTCCGTCGCTTCTTTAACCTTCTTCGCTTGCTGTTCCTTCTCTAAGATCTCGTTTTCTGTCTGTGGCAGGAGCTTCGCAACATTATCCTCCTCTTTTTCCCTCACGACTTTTCGATCAGCGGTCTGCGTGTGCAAGTCCTGCATAGTTTCTTGCCACAGAAGCCTGTCCCGATCTGCATACTCCTGACATACTTTACTGGTCTGCACTCCTTCCCTCGCAGATTTACTGGGCGTCAACGAAGACAACCACAATTTTTTATCACGTCCACGCATAAACCCACTGTTAAGCATAAGCCAATCACTCACTACTTTCTTTCATTTGAAGAAGTATGATGCTCCTTGCCAGCTTTCGGAGTGGCCCGAATTGGGATTCATTCGTAGTATAGCTTCACCATCAACCCTGAGCTCATCGTTCGAGTCATAATAAACGAAGTTAAAAACACCATTTTCAACGAATCAAGGTTAACACATGGCATTGCCTCCTGTTTTGTTTGTTTTCCGATCCACAACGGTTCTGTTCGACTTTTCTTTTAACGCCTTTTCGAATTGACCCTTGATTGATAGACCCAAAGTTTAGCCTCTTCAGATTGACTCGTGTGGTCCGAGACCATTGATGCATATTTCCCATCTTGTTAATTAGTTTGATATGATAGTGTTAATAAATGACTTTATAACTTGGAGACACATGAGTAATTGGAAAGCTCTATCTTGTGCAAGAGGACACATAAAAGACTTTATTTGTATTACATTGTTGGTAGAAATGTGTTAGTCGAAATGAAAATGGCTGCCTATGGATCAACCAACACCTATGTGTTAACATTCGATCCCTTGACTGGACGAGACCCCCAATTGAAGCTTGTCATGGAATTATAGTGTTTAAAATGTCAATATATATTTTTCAGATAACAGCAATCTAGTCAAACTCCCCTCAAAGGATTCTCTCAATCTCCGAAAGCCCGAGATTCTTGACTCACCTACCAGACGAAGAAGAATGTAATGCTGGTCTAGAGAGAAGTATTCAATTACGGTATTAGGAAAATTCAAGATGAATTCAGAGACACGGAAATTAGAATGGACAGAAACTTATGGATAGCAAGCCTGTAACTCTGCGATGCAAAAACCTATATATGAATGAACATTAGGATAGAAGTGTACCTTAATTTGAAAAAAATAAAAAATAAAAATAAAAATAGTACGCTCGGAAAGTTTTGATAACAAGCTTTCTTGCCTATCTCTTGGCTGCCTTGGCATTGGACTTCACTTGAATCGAATTGAATGTGTTTGAAAAGATATCAAGAAAGACTTTAAACCTGTGTGAAACAAAGTAAAAGTGACTTTGTAAAATTAATGATTCAAATCATACAAGTGTAGTAGTAGTACACAATCCAAAATAAGGCTCCATCCCACATCCACGCTCATTCAACATTAATCATAAAAACACGACGGATATCTAGGACTTGTTGACCTCATCATTGACAACGTTGTTAATTCCAGAGTCCAATTGGGAAGGCACTCCCTCCTTGCTCGCAAACGAGTCGACGGCTATGTCATAGAATGTTAGAACTAATCAGGAAAAATTGGGTGGACGAGAACATACCGGAATCTGCCATGGTGTCTTTGGTGCTATCGCTAATGCCACCGCTGGAGTTGTTGCCATTATCATTCCCGTTGTTGCCACCCTGCTGTTGCATTTCGCCCTCTCCGAACTCCTTGATATCTTCTCCGAGACCCATGATGATGATGATGATTGGTTGAAGCAATGGGTGATTTAGGTGTTCTAAGGAAGATGCTAATATAAGCTGATCAGTGGCATAGATAAGTAGACCAATGGGGGCCTCACCTGTGGATTGTTTAAGGCTTTGAATTCAAAATCTCCGCGTGCTGTGTTGATAATGAAAGAGTTGAGAGCGGAGGAGGATGATCCAGGTATTTTATATATTGCTGCTCTTGCTAGAACCTGAAATTCTTGGAATAAAACCTGCTTGACAGCAGCTCGTCCTCAAAAGCTTTCGCACCCAGTTTCACTGTTGATAATGTAATAGTATCCATATTTAATTTCTTCGCCATCCAGATATCTGCACCCAATACCAAGTTGTTCTACGAAGTAGAGCTTACATGAGCCGTTTTGATTTGTTCCTGGACTTCCAGCATCAATCGGGGGTTGTTCAAGGACCCACAGCCAAGATAAACCTGTTCTTATCCAGAAATCCCCTGCATTCTCGCATGAATTAAGCGTCATATTGATGGAGCAAAATATGGTCCAGGTCGCTATCTAAATTAATGATCGGGGTCTGTGGTACTTACAAGTGGATGGGGAAAAGCTTAAATTTCTGTGTTCTTGAAATAGATGCAGAGCTAGTAGCCGCCCTTGAACGATGAAATAAGAATGAACTGCGTAAGATAAATCGCCCCTCTGCATCTTCACTCCATAAGAACTTCGCTCTTTGCAGGGCTAGCACGTAGGACGGGGAGGAGGAGAATTATGAAATCACGTGATCAAACTTTCTCACTCCGCTATTGGTATGCCGTTTCTCGTAATGCCAAGCCATGTGCACTTCTTTCGATAAGCACGATAAGCACGATAAGCACGATAAGCAATGCACCTGATCAGATGCTACGCTACCTAGGTATTTTGACAGTCTTGTTAGTTTCTCCAATTCACATCAGATATATCTTCATCCTAATTTTGCATTCGTGTTCTAGATTGAAATTGCATTGATATTGATATCGATTTCCAAGCATTGTCTATTATAACCTCATTGCAAGAAGCACAGTTCCCTTCATCTCCTAGATTCATCGACCTCACTGACCGCTGTCACTCTTCAGCTTGCATTACCATTCCAGATAACCTCAAATCATCAAAATGGAATACAAAATGGAATACAAACAACCTTTCCCAATTTGCTCCCAATCGATAACACCCCGCATTATTATTCATGGCGGTGCAGGTAACATTCTCCCTGCGAACCTTCCACCCGCGACGTATAAGCTCTATCACGACTCACTCCTTCGCATCATTTCCAACACTCACTATTTCCTCACGTCCCCATCCTCCTTTCCTCTCCACAAAACTTCCTCCTCCTCCACCACCACAGCTCTTGATGCTGTCACCTATGCAGTTACACAATTGGAAGATAATCCTTTGTTCAACAGTGGCCATGGTGCAGTTTTCACTCGCGATGGGATTAATGAACTGGAGGCATCGATAATGGTTTCAAGTGGGAAGAAGAAGAGGGGAGTAGGACTTATGGGATTGCAACATGTAAAGAATCCAATAAAGCTTGCCCGCGAGATGTTGATACGAGGAGAACAGGACCTGGAGGGTGGAAATGGTGAACATCGAGGGCCGATGAGTGTGGAAGAGGACGCATTCAGGCAAAGCCACGGAGCACAAGGACATTCACAGCTACACAAATATTCCGCTGAAAAGTTGGCAAAAGAATGGGGACTGGAGCTTGTAGACGAGAAATACTTTTTTGTACAAGCAAGGTGGGATGAACATATATCGGGGTTGAAAAAAGAGAAGGATGAAAATGGAAATGCATCTTGGGATGCCCAAGAATTTATACCACAAGGAACTTGTGGTGCTGTGTGTCTTGATGCGGATGGGGTGCTATGTGTGGGTACTAGTACTGGAGGTATGACAAATAAATTGACAGGAAGAATTGGGGACACGCCAACGCTTGGTGCTGGTTTTTGGGCAGAGGAGTGGGAGGATACATCGGCCCACGAGGATTTGCATCGACTCCAACGAATCCGTCAAAGAATGTACAACCAACGGCCAATCATTGCCTTGGGCGATCAGCTGAAAGGGATTTTGGCAGACTGTTTTCCAGGCTTGAGTTTGCGATCGTACAACCTGATTCACCACGAAGCGCTGGAGGATGAAGCTATGATGTCCAGGAAACACATGAGGGCCACCGCTATGTCGGGTACTGGAAATGGTGATTCTTTCCTTCGCCTTGCAGCTGCAAGGAGTGCATCGGCAATTGCTCGATATCGTCCCGAGACTTCTCTTCAAGCCGCTATCACAGAAGTAACGGGCCCCGGTGGAGATCTAGTGAAATCTGCAGGAGACCGATGGAAGAAGACAGGTGAAGGTGAAGGAGGTATGATTGGAATTGAGTTACAGGTTGTTGTTGATAAACTTGGCCGGAAAAGAGATGCAGTGAGTCATGTCGTTGCTGATTACAATTGCGGGGGTATGTTCCGTGCTACTATCAATGAAAATGGAAAAGCTGTAATGAGAGTATGGAGACCTGGGCAGTATAATGGTTTGGAAATATATGCAGGTGAGGCAAGGGAGTACGAGGTAGCAGATTGGCTTGATTCTAAATAAGGCTTGACGGAGTTAGTCCTCACGAAATAGTTTTCTTAATAACTAACACGGATTCTGAAACCGACGCTCGTTTTCCTAAGCTAGATAAATCTTCAAGGCCAGCCAGTTCTAGTAATTCATTCCCATGCAACCTTTAGTGAGGACCGGCAAATTAAAGTTCACTTTCTTTGGTCGGGAATCCCACTTACAAAGCCATTCGGCGCATCAAATAAACTTTACTACTTACAAAAGGTTGCCCTGTAAGACAATGAAAGAATAATTCGGATGACCCAGCATTACCCATAAATACACTTCTGCTTTCCTCTACACTCCATAACTGTTAGTCTTCTTCTGATTGATCATGTCGAGCCCAACCAGTCAAATAGTTCGTTCCAAAAAAATTGTATTGATCATTGCCAAATAAAGTCGTTTGTGTCTTGTGTTTTTCTGGTTCACCAGTGGGTGTACGGACACACCCACTGGTGGTTCTCTAACTCCGTTGTCAAAGCTAGCTACCTCATCTGACTTTAAACATTGTACATAACCATGAGTAATACATATTGGTACCTCTCGCCAATTATCTGCATACTGCAAATTCAGTTCCAGACTCTGACTGAATTCCTTTAATTTGCCCAACTTTGACTCAGAAATTCTTCATCCTTGAGGCTTGAGGTTACCATGGGAAAGTATCAGATAATCATTCTTTATCTTTAATAAAATCAACTTCCCTTCGCCTCAAGATCTTGTGCCGCTGTAGATTATCCATTGATTGATCTCGGCAATATTCTCTCGAGTCTTGAGCTATGTCTATGATCAATGGCATTGCTGACTCTCTAGGTTCTGCTGGACGTGGGCATGGGCCGTTTATTGCAAAATCAGTGCAATGTGGGTTACCAAAAACCTTGAGTAGAAAAATGGGCTACACGCCAAACAGCTTTCAATGCTAGTGTAAGGGGTACTGGGGTATGGAGTCATATTGGTGGACAGAGACATCCCAAACTAGACTTAATAGCCAGAACTGATGTCTAGAAGGTATGTTCTCATGCATCAGGGAAAATCCGGGCTGATAATTTTTATATCACTGGAAAATGCAAGCTTGCTTAGATTTCAGTCGCGATGAAAAGATGGAAATGTATCATCATCACTTCTTCAACATGTTTGATTGGTTAAGAGGTAGTGAATCTCATTGCATCCAAGTTGTCTTGAACGTTGCCCTGATATTAGCACTCTTCTACACGCTTTCTTCATGACAATTCCATAATTTTTTGGTCTTAGTTAAAAGTCTCTTCGATCAATATCAGCTCATTACTATTGTTCGGTGAGTTACTTGACGTTCATCATAATCGCTTTCACTGAGAGCATGTCTCTCTAACTCTTGTGAGTACTCTAAATCTTTATGCCTCAAAGAGTTCCAGAGATCTAGCGGTGATGTACGAGATACTCTCTTTTGTAAACAAAAATGAAGAGAGAGATATTTCTTAGAGTGCAAGTTTATGCTGCGTGACGTGCAATTCATGGGGTTGTGTAAGATCCGCTGATCAATTCTGTATCTATCTGGACTGGCTTCATTGGAAACATCTTGTAATGTTCTGTGCCTTAGCTTAGAATACAAGAGGCTGAAGGACAGCTTCACATTTCTCTATATTCAATTCAAGGATAATGATACTTTCTACTCTGGTTGGCCTATTGACATAAATAAAATCGTTGAATGGGCCCCTAGATAGAGAATGCCGTGGCTCTTAGTAAGGAGAGAATCGGGATTCATCATTTATTATAATTTGAGTCACGCATAATAAAGTTTCTGGACAGGTAACAACGGTGACATTTTCTCTGATACTACAGAAAACCCGACTAGATTGCCCAAAATACAGGAAGTGTGAAATTGCTACAACCAAAGGGAATGTTGGAGGTAAATTCTAGAATATAATAATAATATTAATATTCTAGTAATAGTGGAAGACTTAGTCACTTTAGCTTGAGGGACGAATCTGTTACGGGAGCTGCCTCTAGGGTCACGTGGAAGTGTCTAGAGATCTCTCGAGGTGGTTTAGACTAGACTTCAAGTAGGAATTCAATAAGGTTGTAACTGGTTGCAATTCTCGTAACTATAGTAATGAAACTAATGATTGTTCTTGAGCACGAAGCTCTACATGTAAAGAAACCCTTTCCCTTATATAGACCTTTGCACTCTGCGATCCCATCGATCCCACTCACTGAGAGTAGTGGGCGTAGTGGGATCCCACTGATCCCATTGATAATAATCGGTGGGACTGATGGGATGGTCCATCACGTGATACTAGTCCCGTGAGTCTTGTCGTCCTGTCTTATTTCCTGTCCTAGGGCTAATCCCTTGGGAGCTTACTAATCCTAGCAAGACCTCTCTTGCTTACTGTGTCCTGTATTGCTTATTCTTCTTAGGACCCTACTGTCCTAGGAACCATGTCCTATGATTCAGTGTATTCTATAACTAATACTATATACATGCCTGAGGCTTTCCTTGGGTGCCTAGTGTCCCCCGGTATACTGCAGCTGAATCACTGAGGCCTATAATACCATTATAGCCTATAAGTCAGTGATTCTACAGCCTGTTACTAATCCGTTGTAACAGAATCGAATATAATATAAGAGTTAAATTGAAGACAAATTATAAGAAAGAGCTTGATTGAGCTGAATTTACTTGCTATTTTCTAGGTTTTCTTTAAAGAATATCCTAGATTTATAAGTCGGGTACCCCACTTTCGAGCCATCTCTCTTTTAGACCACCTTAAAAATTTATATTATATAATATTAAAATATAATTATTTAACAATTATTTAATATTATAATAAATATTTGAGGATATACTTTTATCATTATTAATAATATTTCTTATATTAATTTCACAATTTCCCACCTCAATTTGTACCTCTCTAATCTCTTTAATCTTAAAAAACTTTAAATTTGAATTAGTTTTTATTTTACATTTCTTTTTAAAAACGATTTACTTCATTTAATACTCAGATTATAGAATTTTATAATCCTTAGTATTGAATTCTTTAATAATCTTTCTAAAAAGCTAGTGGCAAATATAAAGATTAATCTCTTTACTTCAAAGGAATA